ATGAATAAGAATAAATAGCAAGCAGAAGAAAAATGTAACATAGACGGTGATTTTCACAAATTCTGTACTATGTACAAATAATAAGAAATTCTACTAATAGAAAGGGAAACAACAAACAATGTATTTTCTCTTATATACAATTAAATGAGTCAAACGCCACAATAATAACGACATATAAACAAACAAAAGATTCGATTAGAAACAAGAACAAAAAGCAACTGAAATTGAAATTTTAAATGTCTTTAATTTTTTTTTGCTGTAGCTTCAATTAAAATTCGAGAATATCATTTTCTAATGAAGATTTATCAGTAACAAGTGGATAACTAGCAGCAGTACTAATACCACACATATTTTTCTTGTTACGTGCCATTTTAATATATCCTTTATCACCCCAAGCAGCGGACCAACTACAAGAAAAAGAATCAATTTGAAATAAATATAATTTTTTTGCTATTTACCTATTCTTAACAATATAATATTCTTGTTGACCTTTTACTGGATCATTAGCAATACCATAACCAACAGCTAAAACACCATGATCAAGTTCTGTTGATGAACATGATGCATCAGAATAAACACCTACAAATAAATAAATAAATAAATAAATATAAAGAATATCAATCATTCATTTTTCTTTCAAACACACAAATTTAGCAGCTTAAAACCTACATTAAATCTTATTTTTTTTTAAACTATATTATTAACAAGAATGTAACGATAAAACTTGATTTAATAATGTTTTTTCAACTTACCCGAAACATAGAATTGAAATGATGATTGACTTGCATCAATAGCTACTGAAACGGGTCCTTGAAGAGCTAAAGCTTCTTGTAATGCTGTTTCATTTCCTTCTGGAATATCAACAAAACCATCACATGTTGAAGCAACAGATTTTCGTTTGAATTTACAAGCTGCTTCATCCTTTAGATAGCAAAAAAACATTTTATTAAAAAATTACAAAATAAAATATTTTATCTTACTTTGCCAACATAAGGATAATTACTTTCATCATCAATACCTTTGTTGTCATGGATATATTTAAATGCATTATCCATAAGGCCACCGTTACATCCTTCATTACCCCAATTTTTTGAACAATCAACAAGTTGTTGTTCACTTAAACTAACTAATTTTCCTGATGAACGAGCATGATGACTTTCTAATGCACCAGTCTAAAATATTAAATTATTGTTTTTCAAATATTAATTTTTCTTTTACATACAGTGCTGAATGCCCAACATGAACCACATTGCCCTTGATCTTTGACTGGTGTGACAACACCTTGATCTCGCCAATCAACTGATGCTGGAAGAGCTACAAATGGTGATTTCGAAATATGATTTCGACGAATATCAGAATATTGTGAACGATGTTGTTTTTCACGTTTATAACCATTAAATTGTTGACGAAATTCTTCGTTTGTTAATGTTGCAAATTTATTGATTCCAACACGATAAGTATGTAAACCAAGATCATGTTCAATATTATGTTGAATAATCATTTTAACATTTTTGCTGAATATTTTAAAACGATGAATTTCTTCAACAGTTGAATTATAGACAATAGTATAACCTCGTTTAAAACTTATCCATAAGTTATCAATATGTGCTTCAATATTGTCTACTGATGGTAAAGAAAAACCATCACCAACTGAAACGGGTGATGATGTAACCAATGAAATAGAAACAATTGAAAAAAGTAGTAGCAAACGCATTATTTTGATAATAGATATCTAAAGTACAAAAATATTTTTACTTTTCATGTTTTATAGGCGCAGCTCGTTTTTATTTTGCTTCAATATTAAGTCATATGATTGCTTACATGTATGTGACTGTAGTTGTTTTTTTCTCGTACTGACTATAGAGGCGTTTTTTCTATGCACTTTTTATATATTCTCTACGTTACTCGCAAGGGGAGAATCGTGTAGAAGAAAAAAGAAGAAAAAGCAAAACAACA